GGAATCTGTCTCCTATAACAGTACGGGAACAGCGCTAGACCGCTTTGTCATCTAGGAAAGTCAAAAAACCTGCTTTCGATGCCGATGGAATTCTCGGGGCAGTCCTACACTACACGGTAGTGTCTAACACTACTACTACGCTACTAAACCCTATTTATTTACATTTTTACATTTTGAATTTTGAGGTTGACAATTAACTAAGAAAAATGAAATGAATCCGCGAGACATGTCCGGTCAACATACCAAAAAACCTTTCTAAAGATGACCATTCTTTGAGAAAGCTGTATCAATTGAAGCTTGTCATGTTTAAAATCCAAAGCGTTGATCCTTTTATTATCGCTGACATGCAGCATTAGAGTTATAATTTTCATTCATTTTGCAGTTAATATGTTTTAATGTACAATCTCTCTCTCTCTCTCTCTATCTCTCTCTCTCTCTCTCTCATGTATATATATATATATATATATATATATATATATATATATATATATATATATATATATATATATATATATATATATATATATATATATATATATATATATATATATATATATATATATATATATATATATATATATTTTTTAAATGATATTTCAGAATACAGGCCAACAGCCATAATTAGTAAAAGTATCAGTTTGACTTTAGAATATATTATTTGATACCACGTAAAAAGTCTGTATTTCCCCAATATGCATGGCTGCCTGTACAAGTAAATAACATTCACTTAATTTGACACTTTCTAGTGTCAAATAAATATCGCAAGTTATGTATTAGTATTTTAATTGTGTTTTTAAAAATTGACAATTAAGAAAATAAATTTCTCACTTTTTACAGTTTCTCCTTTCAAAATGAAGCTTCAACTATGTAACATTGGAGGATTTTCAGTTTGGCTAGTTCTCGGTGTGATTTATGTAAGTATGTGGGATAAAAGTGAATTAAAAATAATGACCACCAAATTGAATTTTTCCGAGAAATGCAACTACCAAAATTTTTAACTTATACCATCAAATTGTACATGCATTCTAGTTAAAATTCCTGAAGTTGCAATAGAATACACCTTTGGATAAAAAAAGTTTCAGATTTTTTATTAGTTTAACTTTATTTGAAAAAAGAAAATATCACTACGTCCTAAAAGCCTTTCTGAAAAACATAATCAAAAGAAATTATATATTTTAATATGCTTCAGAATGGTACAAGGGATATAAATGGTTAGATCTAAACCTTGATCGAGTTTCTTCTCTTGTATATGTGCAAGAAAATCATCTTCTTGACTGTTATTTTATATAATTTTTCAATTCTGGTTTGAAAAGTTTTAGTAAGAAAAAATATGAAACAATAAAATTCCCCAAAAAATCTCTTTTCTGTCCATTTAAATCAATTCGTTAAAAAAAAAAGAATTTTGATATGCAAGTTTTCTTACAAAAAATACTAGATTTTGAAGGGACCCTCTTTTACATTATTGTGTTGCACTCCTGACATCTGATATGTATGTTATAAAAATTATAACGCACAATAACTCATTCTTAGTTTTTAAGTGAGTTCGTGGTTTTGATATTTTTCACCTAATTTTACGGCAAGTTTTTCATATCTTAAGATTTCAGTACATGATTACTTGCAATGTGTAATAATCATGTATTGAAGTCTTATAATATGAAAAACTTGCCGTAAATGATATAAAATATCAAAACGACGAACTGACTTACAAACTAAGAATGAGTTATTGTGTGTTTAAAGTGTTGGCAAGATCAAGTTGTAACGAAATTGTGAAATATGCATTGTCCAATACTTTATAGTTAAAACACATGAAAGCATTTAAACTTGACTTTAAATCTGGAATCATTCCTAATTTATGTCAAAAAACTAGCTAAAATATTTATCTAGATGATAAAATATATTCTATAGTAAATCTTCCTTCACAGGACTAACACTGTAAGGAACTGATGTCAACAAAAACATGCTACTCAACATTTTCTTTTCTTTTCTTTTTATTTGATCAGCAATAAATTTAACATATTTGTTGCACTCCTGACCAATAGCATGGGAGTCTTTTAAGTAGAATTGTAAAGCGAAAATTACATCAGAACTTACTTGCTCTCTTATTTCACTGATGTTGAGATGGAATTACTTGAATTTTATAACAATTTTTCAGTGTGTTTATTTTTTACATACATAAAAAAAATCAAAGAAAAAATAAAAACAATTCTGAATTGATAAAATTGAAAAAGAGAAAAATTTTAATAATAAAACTGTCAATAATTTAGTACTAAATTATTCAAATAGATCATTATTTATTAAAGAATATTTCTTAGCATGAATAGAACTCTTTTCATTATAAAACTTAAATCTTCAAAAAAAAATTGTGACACTCCTGACCAAAGTAATATAGATCTGAAACACATACAGACCCTGTAATAGATAAATCTATTTGGTAAAATAGGTATTTGTGTCTTTATTTTTCAAAAAAAAAAAAAAAAAAAAAAAAAAAAGAACAAGAGAATCAATTACTGATAAAAGTTTTTTACCATGGTGAGGAGCAAAATATCAAATGCTGCACTCCTGACATTATTGGATATGCACAGATACTTTCATGAGAGCTGCTTGTGATTTATATAACATTTTTAAGTTTTAAATTGCATATCAGTAATTGTTTTACACTTTGAAAATTCTTTTTTGACTTAATTGTCTTTAAGATTTTTAAAAATTGATGTTTCTTTGGCAACACTACATTTTTTTCTGTTGCACTCCTGACGTGGTACATTTTTTTCGTCATGACATCAGCCATGACCACAACTTGGTCAAACAAAAGTTACTACATATGCATTCTACAATTAAACCTCAGTAATTTGAATTTTATCAGGAAAGTCCTTCTTTCCAATATAAACCGTAATTATTTATTACACAGATCTTCCAAAAAATATTGAATTTTCAAAATGTCACAAAAAGCTGTTTTACTCCTGACATTTTAGCATCATTTTTGGGCACATCCTTTTGTAAAGTGAGTTATCAATGAGATATTTTGCAGGTATTTAGACACTATTTAAAGACATATGCTGAGACATAGAAATTTATTCCCATTGTCTATATTTTAAGTGCACGTTGATAAATATGTGTTTTGTCACATTTTTTTTAATTCACCCGTAAACTCTTTCTCTTATATATTTATTGATTTTAGACCACAAAGTAGGACGGTGAAGAATTGTTTACAAGTAATAGGTAGAAGTATAAATACTAGTTTATTGCATTCATGTCCTTTGCTGGAATTCAGAAGACAAACAGATCATTTTGAAGAAAACCAGCTAAGGCAATAATTTTGCTTGAAACCCAAACTGATTCTGTGATTACATTTAGGGCATCATATAAATGTAATCAAATATCCTGTCGCACGTTTTTACTGTTTGCTCCACAGATTTATACTGTCCAGTTTTACCTAACAATTTATTTATACATACATTGTAAGGAATAATTTTGGCACAGAAAACAAACAGTCCTCAGTAATTAATTCATAATAGCATCGGTGGGTAATTTTGTAATTTTGATGTGACTGTTTCTGTGCCTATCGACATCTTATGTGTGAACGAAATGAAAACAAATTGCCACTATTTATTTGATTATTAATAACACACAAATGTTTTTGGAAATTATTAAGACATAGTGTTTATTTTTCTTTCTAATGAATACATCATGATAAAAATTAGTATATATTTTTATCAAATACGAAAATTTAATAAAAGCACGAAATGATTAAAATTCTCCATTTCAATGATACATTAATGTGTCTAGAGTCGGAATATCCGGCGCAATCATGAAATCAGATAATGAAAATGAGTAAGTAATACTTACTAAGGTCCGATGGAGGCATAGAAAATGGGAAATCTATTTAAATTATTTATGTAATTCTTTAATATCATTTTGACTTCATTTTGTGCAAGCTTAAGTTTGACAGAATTTCGATCCGAAATTCAGGGATCATCAAACATTTTCATCACGGTAAAGAAATCCGTAGACAATTTAGTGTGAAAATAACAGCTAACAATTTGTATGAAAAAAAAAAAACAAGTGTAAAAGCAAAATAGCCGGACGATCCTTATTTTTAGGAACTAAATAACATCAGCAAAATCATCTAAAGTTACTACAGAATGATGCTAGTCAAATTGTACAATCATGTAAATGACTATTCAGAGCAATTTATGACATTGTGGTAGCTTAACACACATATTTAAAAAAAAAAAAAATTTAAGAAAGGAGAGAATTTAATTTCCAGAATGATACGAAATGATGACAGAAAAGAAGAGTTCAAGCTTCTCGATCAGTTCAGAGTGAAAAAATAAATCAACCGCTGATGTGACGTTAAAATGACGTGATGACTTATCAAACGAGGCTATAGAAATTCTGCATTTCTTAATTTTTTCTTGATTTATAATTATTTTCATCAAAGTTCATGAATTGACCTTTTTCTTTTAGTAGTAACTGTTAATGTCTCAATAATTTTCCGAACATCCCTTGTACACATTCACACCTTGTTCTTCAATCTACTTTGACGAACTTGATCTTTCGACGTCTTTTCCACGGTCCTGCTGACTTCGATTTATCGAGAGTCACCTGTTCATTCATGAAGCTATTTATATATATATAGCTGTTCTAAATTAAAGTTTGTTAATTGAAAAACAACTTTTATGCATGGCATTGATTCGCTGTGCTTACATGTGCATCTGCATGTAAGAGAAAAAAACAAACGTGTATCGAAATATTATTTATGCATTTTCTTGTTGGAAAAAAAAGCACTCTTATCAGAGTACGTAGAAACATTGTGTGACAACATTTAAAAGATTGTTGCTCTGAAATAAATGTCAAGTAATTGTTTTCAGTTTTAGACTATTTAGCACGTTTGATCTTGAAATAATTCTTATTTCTATTTCGTATTAGCGCATCCTGGGCTCATCCTATCCCGCATCCTGTACTTGGTCATCGCGATCCATGACAACCGTCTCACGATGTCCGAAAACAAAATCAGAAAAAGACAATGAAGAAAAAATCAAAAACTGTGAGGCACTGGCTACGAAACAGAATTGTACGGCCCCCTATAATTTTAGATACCACTGTGTTTTAAACTACGAAGACGATACACTTGTAGAAGTTTGTGCACCTGTGATTTTCATAAAGTTTAGTATGTACAACCCTATTAAAAGTAATAGTTACTGTTTCATTAATTTATAGCTCTACTGGTCAGAGACGAGAAGAGATTATGAGATAGAAAGGTGTCCGTCGTCCACGCGTCTGTCTGTCTGTCTGTCCATCTGCACACAATTTTTCAAAATGCTAATTCTAAATGTTTGGTCTGATTTCAATATAATTTGGCACACAAGTAGACGACTCTATAAAACATTATTCTGTACATAGGGTTCTGATTTCAATGAACAGTGTTGCCATGGTTACAAAAGATAGAAATTTCTGTGAAATACATTCAAGACGCTACTCCGCCTATAGTTTCCCTCTGCTTTCAGTATATATGGCACACAAGTAGACTAAACAAAGAGAAAAATAATTCTGTATATCAGTTTTTCTTTTGATGAGGGTTGTTGCCATGGTTACTAAAATAAACATTTCTGTGAAATACTTTCAAAACATAACTCCTCCTACAGTGTTAGTCTGATTTAAATGTGACTAGGCACACAAGTAGATTGTTCGAAGCTACGTTATATCTATCGGTCTTTGATTTCGATATACATGTATTGTTGATTGATTGAATGTTGTTTTACGTCCCATTCGAGAATATAGAGACGTCACTATATACCGGTGAAGGGCTTCAAATTTTGACCTTTACTCGGCACTCAGGGCCATTGAGCAGTGGGGGATCTTTATCGTGCCAACGCCTGCCGTGACACGGGGCCTCGGTTTTTAAGGTCTCATCCGAAGGACCCGCAACTTTCACTTCAATGTGCCGAGAGCATGGCGAAGGAACAGTTGCTACCCATTTTTTATCGACTTAGGTCAGTCGCGGCCGAGATTCGAACTCACGACCTCCCGATCACGAAGCGAGCGCTCTACCGACTGAGCTACCGTGAACGGTCGATGTACATGTAGGGTGTTGAAATGGTTCCTAACAATAGAGATTTCTGTGAAATACTTTCAAAATGCTACTCCCCCTACAGTTATGGTCTGATTTCAATACTACTATGCACACGTGTAGACTACACTTTGATACTTAAGCCTTATTATCGTTTTTTGATTTCGATGAACAGTATTGTCATGGTTACTAAAAATTAATATTTCTACGAAATACTCTTAAGTACTAATTTTCCCACAGTTCTGCTTTGATTTCAATATTAATTGGCACACGAGTAGACTACAATAAGGTACATGATTCATTATATCGGTTTTTGATTTCGATGAAAGGTGTTGCTATGATTACTTAAAATTTCTGTGAAATACTTTCATAACGCTCCTTCTCCCACAGTGTTTTTCTGATATAAATGTAACTTGGAACATAAGTAAATGGTACTAAGCTACAGAATTCTTAAAATTGATTTTTGATTGTGCTGCCATGGCTACTTAACATAGAAACTTGTGTGATACACTTTCAAAACACCACTCCTACTACAGTTTTGGTCTGATTTTAATATTACTTGGTATGCAAGTAGACTGCACTAAGATACATAATTGTCTTTATCGTTTTTATGAACGATGTTTCCAGTTTACTAAAATAGAAATTTCTGTAAAGTTCGTTCAAAAGGCTAATCCTCCTACAGTTTTAATCTGAGTGCAATAAATCTTAACACAAAGAGAGACTAAACCAGGGATCATAATCGTATTTATTGCTATTACAAAGTTTCAAGTACAAGTGCTATTTTTCTCTTCCTTTGTTGTAAATACACACCAGTGGAGCTTCAGTCTCGTCAGAGACTACTGGATTTTCTTGTCACCTTGAATATGAAATTTTCATGAAATTGTCCTAACATTCAAGGTAATTTCAGGAAACTGTGTAGCGTTTAACAAGGCAACAGGAGAATTGATGCCTCACTGGAAAAGAAAATGCGACAAAGCCTCATTACCCTGCCCAAACAATTACGAGTCTACACATTTCTATCTTTGTAAGTACATAAAAGTGGGGGAAAGTTTTTTTTTCTGTCTGCTTGATTATGAAATAAATTAACATATTTCGCGTAACCAGTCTTTTATTCCACCATATTTCAAGTAGAAGTCCCCAGGAGTGTTCATTTTCTTCTTCACACTAGAAATATAGTCCTGCTGGACACATCATTACTGGAGACGTAAATATAGTTAATAATAAGGACATTTAAACTTCATTTATAAGGGCCAAAATTTAGGGAACTCTGATATTTCAACTGCGTCATACTTTCATATATATTACAAATTCTGTGGAAGATTACGCCACGCTATAGTCTAAATATGAAAAAGAATACCTTGACACTTTGTCAAAATGGATTAAAAGTATCAAATGGATGTTGAAATCTCGTATCAATGGAATGAGCGGCAATAAAAAAAAACTATCACTCTTCAATAATTCAGAAGTGAGGAAAAAAATTAAAAAATTAAATATATTACACTATCAATACTTTCTGGACCTAGCTGACAAAACAGGTACAATATAACAAGGCTCATTATTTTAAATGTATTTTAGAGAGCTGGGATTTAATTCTGAAAGTGGTAATCCAACTAATACGCATAGCCCCTTTCTATGGAGGAAAGTCTTCAAAATCACATGTTAGTTTTAAATATCTTTGATATTTCCAATATTCAGATTGAATTTGAAGTACCATACCTACCCTGGATTCCTAAGGGGACGACCATTTGATTCTGAGTTGAGGGGGGGGGGGGGGGCAAATTTTATCGAGTCAGAATTATTATTGAAAAAAAGTCTGACAAACAAAAAAATCCAAGTCCAACACCAACACTCTATTCCGGGGGGGGGGGGGGGTTCCTAGCTCTAGTTATGGAGAGATTATTTATTTTCTTCCCAAGTCGAGGACAGGTTATTTATTTCATTTTCAACATTTTTGAGGACAGATTATTTAGTTCCAAAATATGCCACCCCCCCCCCCCCACACACACACACCTCGTTATCAAATGGCCATCCCCTAAACTGCATAACAATCTTTACAAACTCAGTTACATAGGGGTTCCAGTAAATGTTCTAGCAAGCTTTTCTTTTGTCCTCATTAAACATTAACAGCAGTGAAGGAAAAACGTCAGGAGTACTTTTCAACAATATATTCAAGAAGTGCAGTAAATCAGATGTGGATACTAAAAAACTCAACATTTAAAAAAATTGAAATTTTAAGATTTTACCAATATCAATAACAGCAAAACGTACAACTTTTCAACACTTTTTGCAACCATTTCCCACCTTGAATTAAAGTCCAGGCTTTTTGACATCGTTGACAGCTGCTTTTTCAATAAAAATGATACTCCTAAATTATCTTACCTTGTCATTGGTCATTTTAATTTTTTTTTTTTGTTAAAAACATTCTGATTGTACACACATGTAGTCCGAAGTCGATTTAAAAAAAATACTCGTGTTCATGATTGACAATGTCTATGTATCTTTTAGAGATCAGGTCTCCCAGCAATCTGACGGAATTCCCATGGATACCAAGTGCGCCCTTTTATTTGCAGACATATTTTTATATTCATATGAAGCAAGAGTTTATTCAAAACACTTCTACATAAAAACAAGAGGTATCTTGCTGTGGCCTTCAATTAAATATTTAAATATATCGACGACGTTTTATCAATGAACATGTTCATTTTCAACTGTTGATTCGATAAATTCCCTTGAATTCGATGGAAAGGATAGCACAGAGTCTAACAACAAAACTTTATGATGATGTGATGACTTACACTTTTCTATCCTCAACTTTTCTTCTTTAATAAAAATATACCCTTATCACCTGCTTATCGAGTTAAAGTCTACCAGTTGATTCAATACGCAAGCGCTTGCTATACGTATGAACAATTGATGAACAAGAATATCAACAGACCCCTATAAAGCCAACAGTTTGCCTTCTATGGTCGGCAAAATGATCTTGTCAGAAAATAAAATTCCATTTATTCAAATGCTGACTGATGTTTTTTATACAAATTGTTAAGGCATTATTTACACACTGAATTGTCTACGGATTTTCCCGATTGCTCGATCATTAAAAGGGGCACACGGCGGATGGGACCGGTCGACAGGGGATGCTTATTCATCCACGGTGCCTGATCCCACTTCTGATGTGTTCAGAGGCTCTTGTTTTCTGGGCTTCCAATTTGTATTGTTTCAAGGGATTTTGAGCTTGGTTACTGTTCGTTATCTCCATTTTTCATGTTCACATAGCTTTAACTTGTTTTGTAAACTAATTAATGTTTGTTGTAATAATGATCAATAACATTTATATCAGCTACTTTTCCTTTATGTAATGAGTTCATGAGTTCATAGATTGAGTTCAAATTCATTTCCAATATCAATGTGAGCATCATTTTTAATGAATATTTTATCATTCATTTCTTTTGTAGACCCCTCCTGCTATGAAGTTTATGAAAATTTTTCAGCAGATGAAAAGGAATATTTTTTCAAAATGCAAGTTTTATTATTTCTGACGTTTTTCATTATTACCATTGGAATTCAATTTTATATATATATATATATATATATATATATATATATATATATATATATATATATATATATATATATATATATATATATATATATATATATATATATATATATATATATATATATATATAGTAACGCCATCACACCACGTGTGCTCAAAATGCAACACATGATATATGCTAAATGTAACGCAGACGGTGTTAGAAGTACATATTAATCTTCTAGATAGATGGTATATTCATATCGAGAAAAAGGGACAAAATACATAATCCTTCAATATACCTCAATAATATGATGCTTGTAATTTATTTATCAAGAGTGTGTTAAGTTTACAATTTATAAAATCAAATCAAATAACAACATAATTATGACTTTATGAACAACAATCTCACACGACATTCACACTGTAATATATCAATTCACAACATAAATAATAATAACCCACATAACTGTCAATTGTTCCCTCCCTTTATAGGTTTGCTTCGAGAATTTAAAAAAGGGGAAAATCTCTGATCATATAATCCTTTAAGAAGATTTATTGTAAGAAAAAAAAATAATATGCCAATTTGAGAACCGAGTTAAATTACTCGCTAGTATACTATGATTTACCTATAACCATATAATAATAATATTAATTGATATTAAATCACCAACGTATGAACGCACAGTTCAGTTACTGCATTGTTCACAATGGTTAACCTACATTGCATTATAAACTAAACTAACACACCGATGCATATCACAGTTAATGCACTGTAATGACTTACGAATGATTTGTTCCCAACTTATTTATAAATAAATTCAACAAGAAAAATACTACTGAAAATATAATTTTAAAAAATCGCCCAAAGATAATTAAATTAACTCTCAACTTATTCAAAAATATTTCTCAAAAATATCTTAAAATTCAATCAATTTATAAATCTAAGAATTTCCGAAAAATCCACTGGCTCAATAAAAATCACGGAAATTACAACCCACAGTCAAATCAACGCATCAGTTGTTATTCCGTTCAATATAAATAAATACCTAATCCTTAAGTTAAATAAATAAAATAAAAATATAAATACAACCTAACAACACTATCAACCCTAAACTACCAGTTCCCCAGAATGAAAAGCAGACGATGACTTGCCCTTTATATAGCATTCAAACAAACGATCCAACTAGTGGCGGGAATCTAAATCAATAAATTATTGGATAATCTTGCCATATAAAATTTTTGATTGGCTAAGCTAAAATAATCGCTTTTGCTAGGACGCCATCTAGTGCAAGAATCTATACTTATAAATTAATACATTTTGCAAATAAACTCCGAAACGGGTGCACCAGAGTTCTTACTTACTCTTCTAAGAATACACACGATACAAGATGATGTCCGTAAACTATATTTAGATTTCACTTGCACTGTTAGTATCGTACATTAAATTAAAAGTCTACTTTCATTTTCTATAAACAGCCATGAAATAGCAAAAACGTGAGTACGGTGGCGTTTCAGGTTGGCGGATCTAAGTTACTGGCAATTTTTAATGAAACTGGCAACAAGCAATCGTTTATATATTTCATTAAACGTCATCACTGAATTATTCAATCAAAACTTGATTTAAATGATATAAAAGAAATAAGTTGTGATAACCGATTAAAAAGGAAAATGTGCAAATTATTTTCGTCATTCACCGATCGTAATATTGACGGAAGCTTCTAGAGCATCATATAGCATAGAGCCCGATGTTAAAAAGAAAATAGCTTCTTTAACATAAACAAAAAACCTTTTGTGTGAATGGTCATTGAAAAAATGGTAAATCATCGATAACACTGTAAGTTGTGAATATATTTATATACCGAAAGACTATTACATATATTTAGTAGGTTTTCCTAATAAATATATCGGTAAAATTTGTATATATTCCTCACCGAGAGCATCGTAGCAACGAACCCGAAGTACAATTTGTACTTTGTGCTTACATGAACAGAGAAAATTAATGAACAAGGCATTGTTCAAATACAATTATGCTGTAAAATTTTGTGCTTTAATCAATACATTTCAGTTTTTTTTTTTCTGAATACAGTCTTTTGATTCAAATACTCGGCCTACTCCAGTGGCGGATCTAGAAAAGGGGGGGGGGGCAGTTTGGGATTGTGGTAGGGGTCCACGGACACACCAAAAAAATTGATTTATTAAATTTTATGCATATTTTGGACACAAAACGGGAGGGGGAGGGGCTAGCCCCCTCAAAATCCGCCAGTGTAGGGCGTTATATAAAAGCTAATTTTTACACAGGTACTTGGGTCTTGGATTATAAATATGTATGTACCTTATTGATATGTAAAAAAAAAAAGAGGTAAGGTACAGTTTTTACATATCAATAAGGTACATACATATTTATAAACCAAGACCGAAGTACCTATGAATTTTTACACAAAAAAAAAATCAATTTCTCAGTAAAATGTGCATTTCTTGACGGAAATTCAGATAAGAGTATCTGAAGTACAATATCCATAACACAGTATACACAATATCCATAAAATAGTATATAACAGGTTTCACAATAAACATCAATTAATGAAATTGTTATTTAAGTTTTACAAAGAGGGGTGGGGTGAGGGTGGAGACGTACTTCTACTTCATGCGGGATTTTGAAGTATTTCTTCCTGCTATAAGCCTGTAGGCTGTCAGTAGAAACTACAATATATTATTGGATTTTTTTCTGTCGGTAGTGGTATAAATTCAATTCCCCGCGCTTGCGCGGGGTTTCATCTAGTATGTTATAATAATACAATATATCGATAAATTACATAAATTTACAATATTTAAAAAACAATGTTAGATCCGTTTTCAATAACAATATTCTACCCGAAATACAATAAAACACCAGTTGAGCAATTTCTAATCAGTTAATTACTTACAATTCAAAATACAATAGTCCAATCCACACTTTGCAAATGTGTGTCCCTTTGCGGGGTCAATCAAAAGGTCAAAAGGGAAAGAATCAACATTTCTCATCTTTATGCTACCAAACATTTGGGCGTGCTCTTTTAAAACCACTGTGTTTAATTGTTTATCTTTCAATGCGTGGGTAGCCCCATCTTAGGGCAATCAGTACACAAAATGCAAAGCAACCGTCGTGTTCTGTTCAGTCAGACACAACAAGATTTTTTTTTCTATTTACAATTTTTTTATCTATAAATAAAATCAGTATGAACAATATTTACACCATACATGTATTTAAACAGTTATAATTTACAATATGTATATCGTAAAAGTCTCTTTCAATCCACGTCATCCTGGTGTTTGCTCACAACCACGTCCAGACACGCCCCGTTTCACGACGGACTCCGATCCCGCCAACTAGCTCCCACTCAGCTATGTTAAGGAAGGAAATGGAAAATGCGATCTTGGTACATTCTTAATAGGTATTATTTTTAAGAATCTTTGTAACAAAGTAACTGTCAACATTTAGGATAGGTAATATAGATATCCATAATGGATAGGTTTGTGGCTCACTCAGTACCAGCTACATCGCATGTATCAGCTGTGTGTCACGTGACTGATATGAAAATAGAATTGTTCAGCCGAATGTAGAAAATGAGGCTAGTGCAAGGGCATACGCATCTTTTTGGAGAAAAAAATTGATACATATTAAAAAAGATTTACATCGGCTTCCCGAAAAGTGCTGGGAGCTACTTTGAGTTGTTTCGGAAAGACTCGTAATTATGCCAAAAATATGTATAATAGCTTAAAATTTCCACTTCGCTTAAATTCTGTCATGAATAAAAATAATGTTATGCCGACTAGAATCAGCTCCCAGCACTTTTCAAAATATACATAATATAAGCAATTGATATTCCATACTTCAGCTCAAACAGTCTAGTCTATGCCCTTGCACTTTTGAGGTTAATCAGGCATACACGTATCGTGTTAGCGATATTCTTTACATTCTCTGTCTATGTGCAGCTCCATAGCACCTACATAAATTAATACTCTACATTATTGTTTTAAATAAATTATTTCCTTTTAATTTTATTAATTAGATTTAAACATTGGCGAATGTTTTATATTTATTTAAGCATTTTTGTAATTATTAAACCAATGGATCCACTCCTCTGGATCACTTGTACTGCGTCAAGTCAAGGCTAGTGACGTCATATATGACACAAGATTTGCTTCTAATAACTCGGCAGTATTGCTATCAGATGTTGTGATTTTACAAGCTTTTATAAATAATTGATAAGATAAATGAATGCAAGTTGTTATTTACGCATCAGTATGTGGTTAAATAGATTTTTGTCGCTTGTTAAATTTTTAATGACGTCACAATAAAACTTCTCATACGGCGCATCACTAATGTGAACTCAGGCCTTCCTTAACGTAGCTGAGCAGTGGGTCTCCGTTCTGTTGAACGTCATTGCCAACACACACATGACTAGATATTTTCAGGATTATATCAAGAACCTTTAAATTAAATAACATTATTAAGTCACAGGTTACGTATACCATAAATATAACTAGTCACTATTGACTATCATTGCACAAATGGCACACCATACAAACAGTTAATCTAACCAAACACTGTTATATATGTAGAGAGCGTTAAGAATACACAATTTTTAACACAAGTGGTTTTAACAACTAAACCCACGACACCGACTGTATAAGCGGCAAAACACAAAATACACTGCGTGCGTACATAACTTAGTACATGCACAAAACCAGAAAATTACACGCATGAGTAACTCTACTCAGCAAAACTTGTATACGCAAACAGTAACAAAAACATTACTTAACCCGTTTTCTTACAAAGTTAACAAATTTTAATGCAATATCAAAATACTAAATAATGAGAAAATTTAACTTACCCCTCATGGAGAAATGGTTACCGTTGTAAAAACTACTTATCTACACATCTTGGATTGTACGTCAAGCATGTTAAAAGAATGAAAACGTGGACCCCGCTACGT